AATTACTAAAGAAGTATGTGCCTTTCTTTTACTTAACACTTTAGGAGATCTGAGAGTTTCATGTATATCCAGGTGATTAAGTCTCAGTGTAGTCAAAATGCCTGAATATCCCACGATTAGCAAAATCATTGCCCTTTATACTCAAATCATGATAAAATTTACTATTTTAAAATCCAAAGATATGAAAACAACCATCAAGCATTTTTTATCCACACCAACTATCAGCAACTCAAATCTCTAGGGGACACATGACTGCAAAAAGGACAAAGAATAAAACACTTCACTACAAGGGTTTGAAAGGAGTTTTATGGATACAAACTTACAGCCACTTTCTGATGACATTATCTCTCCTGGTATTGATGCAAAAAAGGGGGAGAAATTTACCAAGTCAGACAAGCACTAGCAACTCGCATCTAGCACAATGTGATTGGAACAGACTGCCTATAGCATGGGCAGAGCAACATGAATTCAGAATTAGACATCCAACTGACTATAAAGAAGCAGTATCCTTCTAAGAGCTGAGAGTAGACATCCCAAGCCCTTTTGTTCATTCCTTTGCAAAGCAAAACTGGACTAGGCTGAAGTGTTTAACTCTGAACACTGCCATGTAATTAGTAGATAATGTGAAATGTAGCTGTTAAATTTGAGTAATATTACATCTGATAAAACATCCTGAACAAACTAAGGCAGTAGTTCTCAAATTTTTCAGGGCAATTTTCAGTGGTTCTCAACCAGGCGCCGCTGTTACCAGGGAAACTGCCCTGTGCAACTGCTGCACAGCTAGACTGGGAAGGGCTGTGGCCTGTACTCATGGTCCTACGGCATTAGGGTTCTCTGATAAGCCTAGCACAGACACAAGAGCTGCTTGTGCTGCCATCTGACCTGTCATCTCATGTCCCTGAAACACACAGGCACACAACAGATGGAATTATTTATTCCATGACCCTCAGTTTCTGGGAGTAGGAGCAGTGGTAGGGAGAAAGGTGGGCAAGACCAGAAAGAGTTGCAGCTGGAGCCAGCTCTCCTGCCTGCTTTAGGTTATTGAAGAACCCTAATGCAGGAGGAGCTCATGCACATCGGAGCCCTGTACACGAATCTGGCAGTCATGGCAATAGCACCGGCAGAACAGCACTCTCGTTGAGAACTACTAGACTAAAGCCACCGTTTACCAATTCCCCAAAAGACAGAAAATTAAGTTCTTACTTAGTGTCCAGTAGTAAGATTCTGAACTGTCAGCATTTGACAAATACTGATGAAATTAGTAGACCTTCCTTTAATTCTGTTGTCCCTTTTCTCCTTTGCCAATCTAATCCATTCATAACATGGAAAATGTACTGGATCTGACTACTGATCACTAACAGACTACGTAGACTCTGTTTCAGCTATGCACAGGTGGGTATTGTATTGATGTACATATTACACTAAATTTACTGTAAATTCAAATGTGGGGAAATGCATTATAGCTCAAGTATTAGATGATATAATACTGGGAGAAATTCTGAGAAAGGGTCATTTTTGAAGTAAACATGAAGCTGTACAAGATCTCTCTTCCTTTTACATTTCTGTTACAGTACAGTCACACACCTATTCATTATGCTTCTATCAGTTAATACTAATGCACAAAGAATAAAACAGCAGCATAATAAAACCAGGTGTTTAAGAAGAAAAACTGTACCATGTTATTTTGTTACTTACTCACCTATATCCTTTCTGATCCTATAAAGAAGGAGATGCCCTTGCTTGGTGCCAACAAGAAGCCATTCCTCTACAAGAGAAGAAAAAATCTTATCACTGACAGTGGGATAAGACACGTTTGTTTGATTATAAAGCTGAAGCCCTTTGTCAAAGGTGAAAAAATATAACAGTCCTGATTCTATTCAGGGAACTGTGCATGGCTCTTCAAATATTTTTGGGTAGAAGTGTGGAAATATGTAGTAAATTTCATTGTGAGAAACATTTCCAAGAATCAGGAAGCAAGTATGAAAATATGGTCATGATACAGATAGCCATGTGCTCATAATCAGGGATCCTTGTTTTCACTGTTTAAAAATTGCAAATTCTCTGATAAAAATGCAGATTTTCTATTAAAACCTCCAAAATCCTTAAAATATACCACCACTAATATCTATATCTAGGTATCAGTCAAACACAATTTTTATAGATATATTTACAATTTTAAAGCAATGTGGAAACCTACCAGTGCCACTATAATAAAATAAATTCTAAATACCTATGAATTCTGGCATTTAATTTGGGGCTTATCATCATGGAAAATCAGAGCTCCCCCAGCTCCCTTTGCTCACCAGGACAGAGATCCAACTCCAGCTGTCCCCCCTCACTACTTTGCGGGGCTAAGCAACCCTGATATGCCAGTGCCCTGCCCATGCCATTGCCCCTCACCCACAGCCCCCCCGAGCCCTGTTGGTGCCCGTCACTCCCCACCCACTGCCCCCCCAGGTCCTCCAGCTCTGCCAAAGGGGG